CATATTAACATGAATCATGACACGGCGAAAGAGAAGGTGAAGCGACATCGATCCATTTACAAAAGAATTTGGTCTGCCTTCATTGACCTCGTGAACTCAATGGAATTTGCCAAACCGTTGATTGCTATTGAATGGCCCAGGAGTTGCACTTATTGGGACGATAAGGCCGTTGACAAGTTCGTTATTCGAAACAACATGACTCCTGTTAAGTTTGATGGTTGTGCTGTTGGTGTCAAAACTACCGATGGGGTTCCTATGAAGAAACCATGGACTGTTAAGACCAACATGCATTGCCTCCACAATTACCTTGATGGAAGAGTATGTTCTTGCACTGTCCAACATGCTGAAGGTAGGGGACAGAATCTCAAGAATACTGAATCCTACACATACATCATGACTGACTTGATTCACAAGGCTTTTGCTTATGCAGTGTCGGTTCGAGAGAAGGTTGCTGAAACACGTATACTTGTCGCGACCATGGCTGAAGCACTGCCCGTGGAGAAGGCCTTGAAGACGGTACGCTCGGCATTCTCCGAGAGGCACTACAAAGATGTGCCGCTTGCTCGAGTTGACTACGGCTCGGACTACATCCTGCACGATGGGAAGGTGAAGGCCGAGGTCATTCCCGACGAGCTGCGCGTCGCCAACCGAGAGGCTTGGTCAGACATGTTCCGTGATGCGGCAACTCAATCAATCATCGTCAAGGACGTGAACTCCGGTGTCGACCTTGCCAAGATGAGTGAACGTACCGATGCGCTGGCTCTCGCCAAGAATGCCATGTCATCGTTGACAGGGACTGCGGGAATTCTCAAAGAGGCTCCGGCTGAGGCTTTCGATATCCTCTTCTGCCCGGGGAAACCCGCGGTCAACTATCTGTTTTTCGGCGACTCCTTCAATGCGTTGGTCAAAGATGGAGCAAAGACAGATGTTGGCACCATCCTCAAGGAGAATATGCGGACGCTCTTTGGGCACAAGCACGAGGTCTGGTCCGAAATGACATGGGGCAAAGGACTAGCAGAATCTCTTGACGCTGCTGAGCGGGCAATGCTAAAGCTCGCCGAAAGGCCTGAGCCCAGGCCGTACGTCATCGTGATCTCGTGGTCCGGGAATGACGCTGTCGGTCGTAACGGTTACATCGACAACCCCGCCGCCCTAGCGGGCTGGGCCACTGATTCCGAGGCAAAGCGGAAGGCTGCAATGGACATCATCGAAAGGAATGCCCGAGCGGTGATGACTGTCCGTGATCGGCTACGCCACATTGCTTTTCGGGAAGACGTCGTCCAGGTCGTCCTCATCGTGCCGAGGGACTATGAGACGTATGGGCTGAGTGAATCTTACAAGACTCAGATGGACGGGCATGCTCATTTGTTGCATGGTTCCGCGGGAATCACCGTCCTCGACCCCCAGACTCTCATATCCAACACGTCTCGAGCTGACCGTATCCACACCGAGGACACCGAGCGGAACAGGAAGCACTACATCAATTATTATGTGGCCGCCGCCAAGCTCGGGTACTGCATTGGCCAAATCAACCGCTTCGAAATGGCGATGAATTGGTACCGCCTCGAAAGGGAATACATGAACATTGACACATCCATCCCGATCGTTGGCGCTACACCCCAGGAAACTGGCGGTCCGGCAATTGCAAAGAACCCTGAGGACCCTTTCGACAATGAGGTCCGTGAGAGGGAGTTGGAGGCGATCAACGAAATCGCCGCGCAAGAGCCGAAGCGCGAGATTTTCCTGGAGACTGAAAAGGAGGCAAACCCCCTCTACCCCCTTGACACCGTCAAGGAGGAAGCAAAGATCTTACAGATGATGCAACCCGACATTCACGCGGCGACCGTCAGCGGCCTCAACGATGTGATCGATTGGTCTTCTTCTTCGGATGAGGAGGACCTGATCAGCTTCGACCTGCCCCCTGGCTCTCAGCCTAAGGTCAGCCGGCCGAAAGGCCAGGCCGTTGAGGTTGCCGCAGTGGATCCGAATGACATTGGTGAGGACGGCCAAATCAAGCTCATCCTCACTTCCAAGCGGAAAAGTCATAACAAAATGACTGCAGCTCTCAGTGCTGCGACACCAAAGGTGAAATCAAAGGCAATGCCAATGCAGGCTGCCTCATCCAGCGATCAGGCGTCCGTGGCTGGGACCAGCAAGACTCAGCCCGGAGAGATCCGTGGCCCGGAGATCATCCCCAAGGCGAAGGCAGTTTCCAAAGCTGCTGGAAAGTTTGGGGAGACGCGTGGCCAGGCTGCTGAACCCAAGAGGGAGTGGATCAAATGCTCAGGAATCAAGATTCCCCAGATCCAGAACTATGGCAGAAGGACGTTCTTGAGCAAGAAGGTGTCGTATTTGGTTCGCGGACATGCCCACGAACATGCGACGCGATCCATCCCTGAGATCAATCTCAAGGACAACTCCTTCGACTACGCAGCCGTCGCCAAATGGATCCAACGACGATATGACTGGAACTGCACCCAATACACTCTTCTTCAGGCCACGTCCGCATCGAATCGGTTCGAGGTCTATGTCGAGTACGCGCCGGCCGGGCAGCAATGGAACGGGCTCAGTTTCATGCCGCTACGCATTCACGCGTTCACCGGCCACAACGATTGGGTGACCGAGGCCAGCGGCTTTGACGAGATCCCATTGCAATGGATGTCAATTACACCATTGAGCACGCAAAGAAGGGTGTGCGACCGGGCTTCTGCAAAGATTTCTCGGACGCACGCCGAAAGGCGCTGCCCAAAATCGCCTACCACACGTGCAACATGCAGAATTTCTTTGACATCATCTACATGGGCATCTTTCCGGGCGGAATGGGAGACCGGCAATCCTCGCGTGGTCACGCCTACCTAACGGTAGTGCCTCCTTGGGACAGGCATGGCCGGAAGGCGGGGGGTGCGCGTGCTGACCGACCCGTCAACATCGCCGTCGATGTGGAGATGTTGATCCAATTGGGATGTCGGCTGTACGCACCCGGAGACGGGGAAGCCCTGGTGACGGAGGATTGGATCACGAACAAGGTCCTCATTTACGCCTATGACGCTGAATGTGCAAAGTTTATCTGGTCTAACCGGATGTATGTCAGCGTCAGACGGAATTACCAGGACAGCATCAAGAAGTATCGGGAAGAGACCCAGAAGGGCGTTGTCGGGACCCCAGTGCTGGAGTCGTTCATGGCGAAGGCAGAGAAGGAGTGTAAGCTCTATTACAAACAGTGGGCCCCGACGGCGTGCCGCGACATGACGCGGCCCCACCGCATTGGCAATGTGACGAAGGTCAGGGGCGTTTACGACGAGAACCTCCCGAAGGAAGAGCAGGTCGCGCTTGAATTCGAGACCGCCCGCTATGGCCTCTACAGAAACTGGGCCCGAGCTGTGACGCAGCAGCCCGGGGAAACCCGAGGCCGGAGTGGTTTGTGGCAGGACTTGGATCCCAACAAGCAGAAGTCGACCAACTGGCGCTTCGCGGAGGTCATGCACATCCCCGACGTTGAGTGCCTGCGCTGCAAAATCCTCATCCCGGTCGGCACCATCAACTGTTTCCAGTGTGACCGTCTCATGGAGCGCATGCCCGATATCAAGAAAATAGCCAGGGTCGTCCGATTGCAGGAGATGGCCAACAGCTTGGGCGTGCCGCTTTCCATGGACCAGGTTGAGACTCAGATCTTGACGCAGCGGAAGGATGCGCGAGGGGATCGAAGCGCAAGAGGGGGCCTCGGGATCATGAAGGACATCGCCAAGAAAGCAGTTCTTCGCAACAAGGAGTACACCACGTTGTACGAGAGGCTGATCAATGACCCCTTCTACGCCTACACTGCCGCGCGGGGAGACCTGACGCCGTCCGCCCTCGGGTTTATCGAGAAGGTGGCACGATGTATTATTCCGAGTTTCGGGAGAACCAAGGAAATGATCCAAGGAAGCGTTGCTGTGCCGAAATATCACGCACGGCTAACGCTGGTGCCGCCAACGGAGGACGTGCAGGAGGTTGATCCGAAGGACGTGTATGTGGTGCATGGTGGCAGATTTCTGGAACCAGAACAATTTGCTGCATTGTATGGAAGCCTTGACAAGAGCGACCGCTACCCCGTGATGGGCTGGACCCGGGATTTCTCGTCTGTGGGAGACCCCGAAATGGTATTGGTTGAGTTGCTTTGCTTCGTCGAAGAGGAGATCCCCGGCATCGAGATCCCTGGACGAGCCACCCCGCTCCCTGCAGTTGTCGGTGTGACGCGCAAGCCCATTCCGCAGCTCCGGGAGACCGGTGGCCAATGGCAAGATCGTCAATGGAGCCAGTCGTACTGGGGAAGCTGGGGCCAATCCTGGGACTCGTGGTGGTCTGATGATCAGCGCCCGTGGAAGAGCTCCCGCAATTGGGATTGGCGATGAATGAGCGATCTCTTCAACAATCTTTTCAATCTTCGGCTGACATCCATTTACATTTCAAATTCAATATTCATTATACTTCTCAATCCATGTTGGCCGAGGATCAATGTACAGTGCATGAGCACGCCTCGCGAGAGCGACGGTCAGTGGAGGCGGAAGACCTTAACTGCCGGTTGCTCGAATCCAAGTGCTTGTGTACTGCAAAAGGACTTCATGCCGATCGGGTTTCTTTGGTTGTTTCATCCCTTTCATTTGTCCTCCTGTTTCACATTCGGGCACGGGGGGTGTAGTTTGTAACGTGATGTATTTATCAACCATGTAAAACCCCAATGCATGAATGTCTCACTTGCGCAGTCTCATCATTACGACTGCGTATGGCCTTTCCTCCCAGAACGTTTTCCCACTGCTCAAGGGTAGGGGTATTTTTTTGATTGGCAGTTTGGGCATTCTGAGGAAAGCTATGAGTGATGCATTCAATATTAGCCACGAGCAGGATATGAAGACTGAACGTTCAGTTGGCATTTCATTTTTCGCCCGCCATGTACGCAGGTATTTGTTCCGTTGCCTTTGAGCTTGTTGTTTTGATCCGGCCTCGTGTCCTCTCCACCCCAGGAAAACCGCCTCGTGAACCTCAACACGATGCCGAAGAAGCCGAAGAGTGCGACTTGGCCAACATGGCGAGCCTGCGAAGCCGGCGTTTCATGTGGCCAGCGATTCTTTGCGTATTCGTCTCTTGCACCAGGTGTATGCCCTCTTCCGGGAAGACATTAAGGAGGAGGTGCCGGCTGGCAAAGGCGAAGGCTGGGAGTTACACAAAGGGTCAGTACCTTCAAGTCTCTTCTTCGTCTTCTTTTGCCCCTTGGCTGTTCACCAAGCAAGAGGAAGTGCAGACCCATCTGCAACAAAAGGATTCAATTTAGATGCTTGTGCGACATATATACTTGGACGCGGAAAGCCAGAAGAACGAGCCAATGGCGGATCAGACATTGAGAGCCCGGTAGCCGACGGGTTCTGAGCTTCACATTCGAGGGTCCGCTGCGGCCAACCCGGTTGCAAAACGCACTCTGTGCAGCGGCCGAGACATGAGATGGGGCGTTCCTCAATGCCCTGCCTGAAATTCCCAACAATGTTCGCATAGCTGCGGGCAGCTCCCAATCCCACACGTTCCAGAGCTTTTTGCAAATTGGATGTGTTTAGGCACTGAAAACACGCACTGCACCACCCTGCGTTTCTGCGCCTCGCTTCCTCCCATTTCAAATGCATGTTGCTGCTTCACATTGCGCCCGTTCGTGAGGATGTCTTGAATTCAACTCGCTTCCCTTTGTGGATGTATATCAGTGGAAATGGCTCTCATCCAGCACCGAACCTCAACATTTGTTTGCTGCAGTGCCAGGCAAGGGCATGAAGTTTGTGAAGAACAAGTTCGAGGAAATGGACGAGGAGGCGTTCCTCGGCCAGGCTTTTCACATGCGAGTGGCGGAACCTGAGGTTCTTCCTGGCTCCCTGAAAGTGGTCGGATTTGTTGGGGTTCTGAAACTGCCTTGCGGAAGCCGGAGGCTTCCGTTTACACCAATCCTTTGAGCTCTTCCTCAGGGTCTATGAAACATGTCGAGAGTACGGACTTAGGAGCCATGCTGGTCGCTCCCTACAGGCTAGGGTTGGTTGCAAAATGTGGTTGAGCAACCTGACCCTGGCCCCTTAAAAGGGAGACCCACAAAAAGTTAGGCAAATAGCGGTCTAAGCATGTTTATGTTTTAGAAGGGATGGACTCGCTCCCTGCATCACTTAGGAAGCAGAAATATAAAGAGAAGGAGGCAGAGTTGAAGCAGAAGTACAACGAGGAGGTGAAAGACTTCAAGGAAGGCACCACTTTCAAGGCCCGATTTTCTACTGGCAGCGTGTGGCTCAAAAACAGCGCTCTCCCTCCCCTCCCCCCCTCCCCCCCTCCCCCCCGCCCCCATTCCCTGCATTTTCTGCGTAAAAGCAACGTCTGCAGTTGGCTGGGTCCTTAATCTTGAGCGACGCCTTTTTATAAGGCTGACGCCTGGTGCTGTGCAATTCAGACATGGAGCGCCAAACTCGGGGCAAACGCTTTGCGCGCTGTGCAGATGGTCACCTTCCGTTTTTGCACGGGGGAGCGGCCCCTTGCAGTCAGACTCGGCACGTTTTAGGTGAAGATGGTGAAGATGCAAACGAGGCGCAAACGAGTTGAAACGGAGTGTGGACCTGTAGGAGTTTAAGAAGACGGAGGAGAAGATAAAGAGGGAGATGATGACCGAGGCCATGAAAGTCTGCAACTTACGGGCGGAAGCCATGCAAGATTGGACGAGCAGGCAGTTTAGCATGGACTGCCTGTCCGATAGGTTCGAGCGGTGCTGAGGTCATGACCCTGAAGTTCCTCAACGACGCACCTGCGGAGCCTCCCAGGAATCCTTTCTCCATTTTCGTGGGCGAGAAGAGGCCAGGAATGAACGGCCCCGCGGCCCAGCCGAGCGAGCTTGAGCGCAGGAAAGCATCGGTGGAGGAGGCGGGCGAGCCCAAGAAGAAGAAGAGCAAGCAGGAGGCGAAGGATGAGGCTTGACGATTACCACGCACGATTGCTTTAAGCAGATAAGGGCAGTGTGTCCGTTTGCCCTCCAGGTAGCTGCATTCAAGGCCGAGTGGGGCAAGCTTGACAAGGACTCAACTTGGCCTGTGATTTGGCATGCTTTTGGCTACGCCGGAGGTAGCGTGTTGCTTTTACCCAGGTGACTGATTTAGAGAGGCATGTGTTGAGCTCCTTGAGCTCCTTGAGCTCCTTGAGCTCCTTGAGCTCTGTGTGGCCCATTGGTCCAGGACATGAAGAGCGTGTATGATGAGAAGCAGAAGGAAGCCAGAAAGAAATGGCAGGAAGAGGTCAAAGCCTACATGGAGCTTCCTAAGTGGCAGGCGCGTGTGCATGTGGGTTTTATCTCTTTGCCTGAGATACAAGTAGCTGAAAGCTATAAGGCGTTCTTACTTCTATGGAGGTGCAGCCTGTTTTGCGAGCTCGGGCCACGCGGGTTCGTTGCTGTGGTATCATCATGATTCTGTCGGAATCGGCATGGTGCTGTGGAAATCAGTGCGATGTTGT